TTGTCAGATGTCAGATGTCTGTAAGTTTCAGCTGATTCTTTAGCCAGTTAACAGGTTATTATTACTCATTGGTAGGCTATAGATACATCTTATAAAATATCAGTTTTTATTTTATTGCCTTTATAATATATCATTTGGTAAATTGGGAGTTTTTCAACAATAAGAAAACAGAATGGAATTGGCTGTTTCATCTAGATTAGCGATAGAAGAACAGATGAATGGAACTGTTTGCAAAGTTTGTTCAACATTTTCCAAGTTTTCCGATTTAACAAATCATATAAAAAGAAAACACCCAGGTAAACTTTTGGCGTGTTGATATGTAATATTGTATCTAATGTGCATGTATTTATTATAGAACAAATTGACATTGTTCCAAAGAAAGCTAGAACTGGGTCATATGTATGCGAAGAATGTGGAGAAAGATTTATTCGTTTGTCTGGTTTAAATCAACATATTAAAAAGATGCATTGCTCAGGTTTGTGGAAAATAATATAGTAACTATTATACATTGATCGTTTGTAGGTAACATTAGAGATATTACACCTACARAAATCAAATGTGCTTTGTGTGATAATTTAAGTGCTAACAAAGCAGATATTATGCTWCATTACAACAGACATCATGACATTGTTGTGCAAAATGAATGTTTAGAGTTTGATTCACTCCATGACTTCCAGCTTTGGAAAGGAAAAATTGAGAARCAAACCTTGTCGTCTTTTGTGAATAAGCATGGCATTAAAAAAAAAGGAAATTCTAAGAAAATTAAATACGAATGTCATCGTTCAGGAAAATTTAAAACCGAAGGAGAGAATATTCGGTCTCTGAAGCATYAAGGCAGCAATAAAATMAATGGTTTCTGTCCAGCTGAAATGGATGTTGTGTTTGGAGACACTAAATGTTCAGTTCAGTTTTGTAAGACMCATGTTGGACATAATCAAGACAGAGATCTAGGACATATTTTTCTTTCAAAAACCGATAGAGAGAAGATAGCTGCCAGGATTTCTGCACAAATACCGTTCCAAATAATTCTGGATGAAATTAGAGATTCTATTTCAAACTGTAAACTTGAACGAATTCATCTTTTACAGAAACAGGACTTATATAATATTCAGCGGTCATTCAACTTAAATAACTTTGGGATGCGACATAAAAATGATGCCATTAGCGTTGATGCGTGGGTGAATGAGCTGAAAGAATCTGAGTCAATTTTATATTACAAGTCACAGGACAGTTCGTCTGATTATCCTGGTGTGAAGGATGAAGATTTTATCTTAATTATCATGACTCCTGGACAAAAAGAACTTTTGCTGAGGTACATTTCAAAGTATGTTTATGAACACATTGGTTTTAATTGTTCTAAATATTGAAAGGTTTGGCAATGACTGCGTTTGTATGGATGGCACCCATGGCCTAAATGGATATGGTTTTGAACTACATACGTTACTAGTTCTTGATGAGCTGCGAGAAGGCTATCCTGGAGCCTTCCTCATTTCAAATAAATGTGATGGAGCTGTAATGGAAATTTTTTACTCTTACATTCAGTTGGCAATTGGACAGCTTAAGCCAAAAATATTTATGTCAGATATGGCAGAAGCTTATTATACGGCCTGGATCAACATCATGCAACCACCAGAATTCCGGTTAGCTAATAAATAATTTCTAATAATTGTTTTCTTTTGCTACATTCTGCAGATAAATTTTTGTAGTCTCCAACTTATTTGGTTGGCTGAATTAATATTTGTATTCCACAAAACTTTCAACCTTTAACAACATTCCAGATTGTTTTGTACTTGGCACGTGGACAGGGCCTGGCGGAAAAATTTGAACAAGATTAGCGAAAAAGATGAAA